TATGTCAGACATGACAGTTTATCAGAATACCCAGGAGTCAGATTATGCAGGATGAACTATATATGTACAGTGACATAAAACAGGATTAAAAAGGGTTTAGATTACACTAGTTCTATTTCATACGTATTGTCAATAGCTTACAGTTCGTGAAAAAAACTTTTCACAGAAATTTGGTAAGAGAGACTATCATGTATCCAAATGTCTGAGTCACAATTTTAAAGTAACTCATATATCTTATTGTTTCTATCTTGAATTTGAGTCATCATATGATAGGAAGAATGCGAAATCTGAGAGAGAATATTTTTCACTGTCACAAAACACCAAAATGCTTGACCCAGACATGAACTATATACCGTACCCGTTATTCACATTAAAACCTAGAATATCCTCTGTATCTTGTTGACATTTGAAATTCCGTTTTGAGTCCAAAATTGTTTCGTGAACCTGGGCTTGTATTATAGCCGTCCCATGATCCTGTGCCTGGAGTTTTTATTAAATACAAGATTGTACACATTACCTTGACAAGTCAAGGTCCAGTATGGAGTCTGTGTGACCGGACCACTGGTTGACACACTGACCATTGCGGCCGTCCCACAGACGCACAACACCGTCCAGACACGCAGTGTATACCAGGGGGGCAGTGGGATCCCACTTAAGTCTGACTACACCTGCCTATAACACAGACATCTGTATACACAAACATGCCTGCATGTATACTAAAGACATAAAACATCTGAAAATGAAGTTTTAATATAAAAATTATTTGATCTCATTTGAAATGTACTTGGATGGTAGGCAATGTCCCTGTTTGTAAAATGGCAGTTCCATAAAGGAATTGAAGAGTCAAGGTCCAAAGCTATTAATTAAAACTATCACAAACATTTTTTCTCTCATAAATTATATTTTAAAATATATTAAAATCGTGTTGAAAAATAATTTTCTATAAGACTTGGTGCCGTACCTCATGTTGACAGGTGCTTCAAACAATCTGTGTTGGCAGGTCCCATATACAGAGGGTACCCTGTAGTGTTCCAGTGGCTGCCCATGTCTGTCTGGAACAACAAGCAAAACAGTGTTTTTACAGCAAGAATTTTACTTGTTTAAGTTATGAAAACACAAAATAAAAGTGAATATGTTTTGCTAAACTTCATCTGTAATAGCCCAAGTCTACCTTTATTATTTGAAGATGTTTGTTTACACTGAAATACATTATAGCCAGCTACTGTATGCTCTCTACCAAACTCTAAAAGTCCTTAGAAAGTCATGATAAACCAGAGGTTACGTTACCTGTAAAAGGTTATGCTATCATAATCCCATCATCTTTGTGTACTGCCACAACCAGTGGTTCACACTCACATTTTGATACATCAGTTACGGCCAGGATCACTTAATACTTAAATTTCACATATTAGCATAATCTCTGAAAAGCAGGCAACCAATACAACTTTTCCCTTCATTACTTATTAAACTTTTCAGTCGCCTTTGCCCAAGGATGCTCTAGGTCAAACTTGGATAAAATCCCTCAAATTGTTCAGAAGGATAAGGATTTTAAAGATTTAAACCTCAAATTCCCCTTTTGAGCCCCACCCCTCTGCACCAACAGGGACCACACCCATGGTTTATACAAAAATGAGTCATCTTGGCACAAGGCTGCTCAAGACCAAATTAGGATAAGACATCTTTATCCCTATGATAGGAGATCTGCCCCAAGGGGCTCCGAACTCACCGTTTATACAAAATTGAGTCCCCTTGGCCTTCAGATGCTGAAGACCAAATTGGGATGAAATCCCTGAATCCCTATAGTAAGAGAAGGCATTTCAAGATTCTACCTCTATTTCCTCTATTGGGCACGTCCCTCTGCCCCAGGAGGGCCACAGCCACCATTTATACAAAATTGAATGCCCTTGGCCTAAGGGTGCTCTAGACAGATTTAAGTCAAAATCTACTGGCCTGTTCTGGACTAGAAGTGTTTAAAGGAAAACTTGAAGGACGGACGACGGACGCCGTGCCTTGGCATATTAGCTCACCGGAAAAGTCGAGCTAAAAAGCTGACAAACACTAGGAGTTAAATCGGAATGATGCATTACACTAGAATATTCTAAAATAAATCCACATGCCTCTACAGAGTTATCAATACTTACTGTCTCCAGAAACCACAGGCCTCTACAGAGTTTTCAATACTTACTGTCTACAGAAACCACATGCCTCTAGTGTTTTCAATACTTACTGTCTACAAAAACCACAGGCCTTTACAAAGGTATCAATACTTACCGTCTACAGAAACCACAGGCCTCTACAGAGTTTTCAATACTTACTGTATACAGAAACCACAGGCCTCTACAGAGATAACAATACTTACTGTCTACAGAAACCACAGGCCTGTACAGAGTTTTCAATACTTACTGTCTACAGAAACCACAGACCTCTACAGAGTTATCAATACTTACTGTCTACAGAAACCACAGGTCTCTACAGTTATCAATACTTACTGTCTACAGAAACCACAGGCCTGTACAGAGGTATCAATACTTACTGTCTACAAAAACCACAGGCATCTACAGAGTTTTCTCCTTCCTTCATTGACTCACATTTAACTGTTGACAGAACCTGCAAGGAAAACATTTATCTTCAAATACAGTAAAATCTCAATATATTTTATGTAATACATCATCTGACATTTGACACCTTGCTTACCCCCAGCATATTACAAGGTCCCTTTTCTCTTTTTCTGAAGAATTCCTTTGTATAATTCCTTCAATTTATCGCCAAATCCCTATATAACTCTAAACTTTTACTGGACAGTATAACAAGTTTTTGAAAATCTAAACTTTCACTGGACAGTATAACAAGGTTTTGAAACTCTAAACATTCACTGGACAGTATAAACAGTATAACAAGGTTTTGAAACTCTAAACTTTTACTGGACAGTATAACAAGGTTTTGAAACTATAAACTTTCACTGGACAGTATAAACAGTATAACAAGGTTTAACTGTATTTCTCTGACAAGCTTTAAGAGGTACCACAAAAGTACAATGCTTCCCAACAAGGAAAATGTCTGTGACGTGATTGTGAGGCTTGTTTTGTTATTTCTCCATTATTTATGTACCAACCTTCCCCGTCCTGGTGTTAAGATCTTGGCCGTGACATCAGTTGACCCTGTCATTACCATCGAGTTGTCATGGTGACAATCCATACACACCACTGTTGAGGAGTGACCGTCTCGACCTACAAACAACATGAAGTGATGTCATAGCATTAACCCGTTCACCCCTAAAGTCATGTTTGAACCTTACCAAATCAAAGACTAGGCAAGTCCAGTATAAATATTTAGGGGTACATGAGAGAATTCAACTAAACCTCTGTCAAATCACCAACATCTAAATTTCAGTTTTATCAAACACTTATTTCTTAATAAAAAAAATGCACAATGCCAACTACTTAATTTTTTTAGACATTAATTTTTCATGACTGAGTATTAAACATCTTACTTGCAAGGTGGCTTATGGGTTATTCCATTTAAATATATACCCTGCTTATGGACATTAAAATAAAATCACTTGCCTACTAGATCACAAGTTGAATAGTTGGTGACCATATCTCAAATGTGATGGGGTGGGTTATATATTCCCCTAAATTAGCCCTAAATTAATGTTTGGATGTTAACAGACTCATTCTTGGATTTAAAATAATTACCTCCAGATCATACAACATCATTAAACTCTATCTGGAATTTGGTGGCTAAAAAAAGCCATTATTCAAAGTAGATTTTATTTTCTGTATTATTATACAATTATGTTATTACGAAGTGATGGATGAAGAATTTCTGAAAAGTAGGGAGCCCCAACTTTAGATACCGGTAATAACATTTACACTTTGCCTTGAGGTCTGAAGCGGCACGTCTGAAGTGCAGGGGAGATAATCTCATTTTAACTGACATTCACCCCTAAAGACACATTTGAACTCTTCCAATTCAAAGGTGGGAATAGTTCATCATAAACTTTCAGGGGTGAATGAGTTAATGGTAAAGAGCAAATTTCAGATCTGCTTATGCTATTTTAATGATCAAACTAGACTAATACAAAGTTAGGTACTATATATAAGACCTACCTGATATGGTCTTCATCATGTCAGCTGTTTTCATGTTCCAAACCTTGATGGCACCATCATCGTATCCAACACATACACGCTTCCCTGGAAAATACAAAGAGAGGCTGTTGAAATCTTTATAGACAAAATATTGAAAAAATTGCCTGCCTTTATGATGATGCAAACCCGTACAAAACATTTAATTTTAAATTTTATTCTTGTGATTAGATTTTTTGAAATATGAAATTGGCTTTCACAAATTATCACAACATGAACTTCATGTTTTAGGGTAACTTTTTAGGACTCTAGGGGGAGAATTCAATGCACAAAATACATTTGAGAAAGCATTTAAGATATTTTCTAGCTCAAAATTTTACCGTTGTAAATTGTATAGGTGTAGGAAATACACCAGATCTATGGTAACTAAATGTTTGTTCTTACTAATAAAAAGAATAACCACAGAAACATTTTTGTGACGCGACCACAATAGGAGTTGGCAGAGTTACACATTCTTTCAGTGAATGAGACACAATTGTGTGACCTTGAAAACAGAAGATCACAGAGTAAGGAACCCTGGGAAAAAATCAGTTGATTTTTGTGATCACACACAAAGAGAAATTAAAAAAAATATACAAAAGTCTTAAATACCATCAGGTAGGATCCGATCCGTCCCACGCCTGCTGTACAGCTGTGGCCCTGAAACGTCTTACAATCACTGTCAGGAATCTTCCACATCCACACATCGCCATCCACGGTGCCCGACAACAACACTGGTGCCAGTGGGTGCCACTGTAACCACTGGTAAACAAAGAATGGCACTGACATCGTAACTAAGGTAACTAGGAAGTGAGGGTGTCACTGTAACCACTGGTAAACAAAGAATGGCACTGACATCGTNAAAGTGAGGGTGTCACTTTAACTCATTCACCCCTAAAGACACATTTGAACTCTTCTAATTCATAGGTTGGAATAGTTCATTGTGAAATTACAGGGGTGAATGAGTTAATCAGTCCAAGCATATTAGGTTGTCATGGTAATCTAATGACAGTAAAAGTGACGGAGCCATAGTAATTACGTATAGAAACAAAAAGGAGTAAGTGCCACGGTAATACAAATGTCTATACATGTAATGATAGTCTGAAGTAATTTACATCCTTTGTTCCTAATATTAATAGAATCCATCCCTGATGTGAGGTATGAATAAGGTTATTCAAACCCAAGGGATAAAATATTGAGCAGGAGACCTGAGGCTTTGCCGAGGGTCTTTTGCTCAATACTTTATTCTGAGGGTTCGAATAAACTTATCCTTACCTCATATCAGGGATGGATTCTATTTCTTGCTAATTACCTAAAACCCGTAAAAACAGCTGCTTTTCTAGTAAAGTTGAAAACTGTCCGCACATTTCTCATTTGCATATGAACCCCGGATGGCAATTGTTAGCGATGTCAATGACCCTGACTGACCCCAAAACGTCATAAAGTGACGTCACAAACCCGAAAGGTCACTATAATTCCCCCTGCCAGTCTGCGCGTGTAAGCGATCTAGACCCCTGGGTCGGATAGAATTTTCCAGCACTGCCAGAAATGCGGATATCTCAGTCTAGTATGCAAGAATACTTTATCTAACTGTAGAACAGGAAACATTTGGATATAGTTGATTATAATACATGTTGGCAGAGTTATATATTCCTTCAATGAATGAGACACAAATGTGTGATGTCAACAGTTGATATGGGTGGGGTTCACATGTAGGTAAATCATGGGCTATTGCTTATCAAACTGACTATATGTTCATCTGTTTTATGTTCATCTGTTTTATGTTCAGTTTTAATAGATTTCCAATTATAATGATAAAATACTTCCTGGTGTCTTATATATATCTTAAATATCAATGTGACAAAGGTTTGGAAATTATTATTGTGAAAACTGTGAGATCTTTTTTTATTCTGCTACTTTATAGATTTTTTTTTGTTATTTTATCTCCAGCATTATCTTAAAATAGGTCATAATAATCATGCAATGACCCCAATAAAGAGCGATCAGTTACTGGTCAGTGGTTTTTCTCCGGGCGGACCGGTTTCCTCCAGCACCAAAACCTGGCACGTCCTTTATGGAGTTTGTTTGGTTAAGTTTTCTCCAGCTTTATATTCAAATAGGCCACAGTAATAATGTAATGACCCCGGGGGCCCCAATATAGCGACATCAGTTACTGGTCTGTGTCATAGTAATCATGTAATGACCCGGGGGCCCCAATATAGAGACATCAGTTACTGGTCTGTGTCATAGTAATCATGTAATGACCCGGGGCCCCAATATAGAGACATCAGTTACTGGTCTGTGTCATAGTAATCATGTAATGACCCGGGGGCCCCAATATAGAGACATCAGTTACTGGTCTGTGTCATAGTAATCATGTAATGACCCGGGGGCCCCAATATAGAGACATCAGTTACTGGTCTGTGTCATAGTAATCATGTAATGACCCGGGGGCCCCAATATAGAGACATCAGTTACTGGTCTGTGTCATAGTAATCATGTAATGACCCGGGGGCCCCAATATAGAGACATCAGTTACTGGTCTGTGTCATAGTAATCATGTAATGACCCGGGGGCCCCAATATAGAGACATCAGTTACTGGTCTGTGTCATAGTAATCATGTAATGACCCGGGGGCCCCAATATAGAGACATCAGTTACTGGTCTGTGTCATAGTAATCATGTAATGACCCGGGGGCCCCAATATAGAGACATCAGTTACTGGTCGGTGTCATAGTAATCATGTAATGACCCGGGGGCCCCAATATAGAGACATCAGTTACTGGTCTGTGTCATAGTAATCATGTAATGACCCGGGGGCCCCAATATAGAGACATCAGTTACTGGTCGGTGTCATAGTAATCATGTAATGACCCGGGGGCCCCAATATAGAGACATCAGTTACTGGTCTGTGTCATAGTAATCATGTAATGACCCGGGGGCCCCAATATAGAGACATCAGTTACTGGTCGGTGTCATAGTAATCATGTAATGACCCGGGGGCCCCAATATAGAGACATCAGTTACTGGTCTGTGTCATAGTAATCATGTAATGACCCGGGGGCCCCAATATAGAGACATCAGTTACTGGTCGGTGTCATAGTAATCATGTAATGACCCGGGGGCCCCAATATAGAGACATCAGTTACTGGTCTGTGTCATAGTAATCATGTAATGACCCGGGGGCCCCAATATAGAGACATCAGTTACTGGTCGGTGTCATAGTAATCATGTAATGACCCGGGGGCCCCAATATAGAGACATCAGTTACTGGTCTGTGTCATAGTAATCATGTAATGACCCGGGGGCCCCAATATAGAGACATCAGTTACTGGTCGGTGTCATAGTAATCATGTAATGACCCGGGGGCCCCAATATAGAGACATCAGTTACTGGTCTGTGTCATAGTAATCATGTAATGACCCGGGGGCCCCAATATAGAGACATCAGTTACTGGTCGGTGTCATAGTAATCATGTAATGACCCGGGGGCCCCAATATAGAGACATCAGTTACTGGTCTGTGTCATAGTAATCATGTAATGACCCGGGGGCCCCAATATAGAGACATCAGTTACTGGTCGGTGTCATAGTAATCATGTAATGACCCGGGGGCCCCAATATAGAGACATCAGTTACTGGTCTGTGTCATAGTAATCATGTAATGACCCGGGGGCCCCAATATAGAGACATCAGTTACTGGTCGGTGTCATAGTAATCATGTAATGACCCGGGGGCCCCAATATAGAGACATCAGTTACTGGTCTGTGTCATAGTAATCATGTAATGACCCGGGGGCCCCAATATAGAGACATCAGTTACTGGTCGGTGTCATAGTAATCATGTAATGACCCGGGGGCCCCAATATAGAGACATCAGTTACTGGTCTGTGTCATAGTAATCATGTAATGACCCGGGGGCCCCAATATAGAGACATCAGTTACTGGTCGGTGTCATAGTAATCATGTAATGACCCGGGGGCCCCAATATAGAGACATCAGTTACTGGTCTGTGTCATAGTAATCATGTAATGACCCGGGGGCCCCAATATAGAGACATCAGTTACTGGTCGGTGTCATAGTAATCATGTAATGACCCGGGGGCCCCAATATAGAGACATCAGTTACTGGTCTGTGTCATAGTAATCATGTAATGACCCGGGGGCCCCAATATAGAGACATCAGTTACTGGTCGGTGTCATAGTAATCATGTAATGACCCGGGGACCCCAATATAGAGACATCAGTGACTGGTCGGTGTCATAGTAATCATGTAATGACCCGGGGGCCCCAATATAGAGACATCAGTTACTGGTCGTTGTCATAGTAATCATGGAATGACCTGGGGGCCCCAATATGGAGACATCAGTTACTGGTCGGTGTCATAGTAATCATGTAATGCCCCGGGGGCCCCAATATAGAGACATCAGTTACTGGTCGGTGTCATCGTAATCATGTAATGACCTGGGGGCCCCAATATGGAGACATCAGTTACTGGTCGGTGTCATAGTAATCATGTAATGACCTGGGGACTCCAATATAAAGACATCAGTTACTGGTCTGTGTCATAGTAATCATGTAATGACCTGGGGACCCCAATATAGAGACATCAGTTACTGGTTGGTGTCATAGTAATCATGTAATGATCCAGGGGCCCAATATAGAGACATCAGTTACTGGTCTGTGTCATAGTAATCATGTTATGACCTGGGGACTCCAATATAGAGACATCAGTTACTGGGCTGTGTCATAGTAATCATGTAATGACCTGGGGACTCCAATATAGAGACATCAGTTACTGGTGTGTGTCATAGTAATCATGTTATATCCCGGGGACCCCAATATAGAGATATCAGTTACTGGTCGGTGTCATAGTGATCATGTAATGACCCGGGGACCCCAATATAGAGATATCAGTTACTGGCCTGTGTCATAGTAATCATGCAATGACCCCGGACCCCAATATAGAGACATCAGATACTGGTCTGTGTCATAGTAATCATGTAATGACCCGGGGGCCCAATATAAAGACATCAGTTACTGGTCTGTGTTATAGTAATCATGTAATGACCCGGGGGCCCCAATATAGAGATATCAGTTACTGGCCTGTGTCATAGTAATCATGCAATGACCCCGGACCCCAATATAGAGACATCAGATACTGGTCTGTGTCATAGTAATCATGTAATGACCCAGGGGCCCCAATATAGAAACATCAGTTACTGGTCTGTGCCCTACTACTCATGTAATGACCCCGGACCCCAATATAGAGACATCAGATGCTGGCGTGTGTCATAGTAATCATGTAATGACCCGGGGCCCCCAATACAGAGACATCAGTTACTGGTCTGTGTCATAGTAATCATGTTATGACCCGGGGGCCCAATATAGAGACATCAGTTACTGGTCTGTGTTATAGTAATAATGTAATGACCCGGGGCCCCCAATATGGAGACATCAGTTACTGGTCGGTGTCATAGTAATCATGTAATGTCCCAGTGGCCCCAATATAGAGACATCAGTTACTGGTCTGTGTCATAATAATCATGTAATGACCTAGGGGCCCCAATATGGAGACATCAATAGTAATCATGTAATGACCTGAGGACCCCAATATAGAGACATCAGTTACTGGTTGGTGTCATAGTAATCATGTAATGACCCGGGGGTCCCAATATAGAGACATCAGTTACTGGTCTGTGTTATAGTAATCATGTAATGACCCGGGGGCCCCAATATAGAAACATCAGTTACTGGTCTGTGCCCTACTACTCATGTAATGACCCCGGACCCCAATATAGAGACATCAGATACTGGCCTGTGTCATAGTA